AGCAGATCTGGAATTCCTTGCTTTAGGGAGGGAGAATTCTAAGCTCCAAATCTAGTTCTTGAACAAGAAAAGAAGGCAAAAACCAAGCTTTACCGGTTTCCTCAAGGGGAGGTGCGTCGGGGCTGGGCTTCTTGTTCGGCTGCAGGGGGATGGGAAAGAAGAAGAGAAACACGCGGCTGAAAAGAGAAAGAAGGAAGAAAAATCACCCGATCCTTATCCAATTTCTTTCCCCTTTTAAGCCCCTTGAATTTAACACAAATTGCCATTAGGTGCACTAATAATATTTCCTCACAAGTTAGTCCCTAACTCACATTTATTTATTCTAAAAATTTTTGGGGTATCACATCCACCCCTCCTAAAAAGGAGTTTTGTCCCCAAAACTCAAATTGAGGATCATTTCCAGTGGTGAATGGCTTCACACAATCTGAGACAAAACAAATGCCTCACCAACTCTTTATGAACAGAACATGGCCTACTACGCTTTCGTTGCCCCACTCTGATAACAACCACAACTAATCCTAAAAGCAGAACATTAACTCCTTAACAGGATTTACCATGAAACAAGCTATTGGAGGCTGGGGTGATATGGGAAGCACAAGGAATAGAAACAAATCTTGCCAAAGTCACAAAAGAACAATTGTGGGGTTACGTTATGAACCCAACACAAGACGAGTTGGCAAAGAATGGCATGGATTTAAAGACGAGTACAACAAAACTTTGAACTCTTATCAAAGACGGATAAGCATCCAATGGATGTATAGATCATGAATGAATGAACAAGTGCATGGATGCCTTATAAATTCTGCCACAAAACAAGATTAACCAATAAGTAAAATCATGTTTAATAAAACAACTGGAATCAAGAGACAAATTTTAGCAATTAACAAGAGTTAAAAGCTAGACCCATTAGATAATATGTGAAAATTTCCAAAATAGCATCAGAATGAAATAAATGGAAAATATGAATGCTTTGAAGAATACTGGAACATAAGAGTGCAAGGTAGAATGCCTCAAAAATTTCAGCAACAAAATGGCATTCACCGAGAATCAAAATCAAATTTAACTAATCAGTCAAAATTGAGAGACAAGAGTTAACCATGAAATAAGCAATAGAACAAGGATGTCAAGGATTAGGCCCACAAAAGAGATTTCAATATTGACAACCAGAACATAGATTCAAGAGCAGATATAACAAGGATGTCAAGATCTAGCACCCCAAGTAACACGAATTAATAAACAGAATAATCAATAGTGGGGATCAAGATACTTAGAAGATTACTGTCTTCTAATTAAAAAGGTAAACAAAAATCAAAGCAGCTAGATAAAAGAACCATTTCTCTTGGAACAAAACTCTAGGGTATCAAGTACTTCAAAGACTACCCCTTCACCTCGTAACCCATGGAGGCTAAGCAGATTTACAATCAAGTCATCCTAGAGTCAAGTTAAAGCTAAGACATCAAGGATGCAAAGATTGACATTTGCAAGAGACAAGAATGAGGATGCCTCATATAGGTATCTTCTAATAATCATCACCCCTCCTAAAGAGGTGTTCATATGAACAAAAATAAAAAAATCAAGAAGATCAACAGGTAAACTAAAACAACTAGCAGAATATGCAAGATTTGAGTAAGAGCAATATATAGAATTTGAGCAAGAACCAGTGCCAAAACAAGAACGTTTTCAAGGACAACTCAAACCAGATTCCAAAAACCAAATATCAATTGATTTTCAAGAATAGATTCCAAGAACAATATCAGTCAATTTTCAAGAGTAGAATTCCAAGAAGAATGAATTTCAAGCAAGGTTAATTTCAAGCAAGGTTTATGAACCGATTCCAAGCACAATGCCAGAAACAGTTTCAAGAAATAGTTTCAGACAAGTATCAAGATAATGAGGATTTCAATAATCATTATCCATTTCTGGATTTCAGTTTCAAGAACAAGTACAAAGCAATATCAAGAAAGATTCCAGACGGATTTTAGGAGTTTCAAGTAGTTTCAACAGACATCAAGAATGTAGATATTAGCAACAATAGAGAGTTTAACTTTATGACAGCTTGCCAATCTTCACAAAAACATGGCAATTTCAATTGAATTGATCATTGTTTTTGATTAACCAATATAGAAAAATGAGCCACATGAAAAGACCATGAAGCTCCAAATGGAAAAAGTGAAACTTCACTATAAGACTTTCAGAAAGATAATGAGCAGCGAAATTACCAAGTTATCCATCTCCTAAAACGCATCTAGAAAACACACAACATTTGCTAAATGGCCTTGAATCTCTTACAAAGGAGAGGGTTTGCCCATCTTCCACTGGTCATGTGACAAATAGAACAAATTTCTCAGCCTGCTATGTTGTAGAGACCAATAGGATCAATAACAAAAGATCTCTACAACTCCCTAGATCTTACAATTGTGGCAAAAGAGCATACAAAAATTCTATTCACGTAACAAGTCTAAACAAGTGCGGACTATCAGAAAATGACCAAGTTTCAAAACAAGGTCTTAAGAACATGACGGACAAGATTAATTTCATGAATCCACACAGGGTATGAAGGCAAGAAACAAGAACAATCTAATTACCATCTCATCAAAAGGGATTAGAAAATTCAGGCAACATGAATCAGAATCATCCCTTATATAACCTCATCACTCAGTCTCACGACGATTCTAAAATCTATTGGCTAGCCAAGTTCCAAACAAATCCTAAGTATTCAATTAAACCTAGATATTTAATTAAATCTAAACTCCGATACCAGTCAATCTACTTTGATGCCACTCAATCTGGAGGTGCTTAATTTAATCCAAAACTCTTAATTTAAACCTAAGCTCTTAATTTAAACCTAAGCTCTGATACCACTAAATCTGTCACACCCCAGAATCCAAATCCAGAGACGTGGCAGACGCTGTACACTTGTGAGAGGGTCCCACAAATGCACAAAGCTCGGAACTTATCCAATTCACATCTGATACTATCAAAATCTGAAGATAAAATTATAAATCTGCTCTGATATCATAAAATCTTCAAATACAGTTTAGCTTACAAGATCATGATCTATTTCTAAAATCTATATCAATCTCGAAATGGCTAGCCTACTAACTTGTCACTTCCCGTGGTTTCTCCATCCTCGGTTTCGCTTCCTGAAATGATGGACAAGGACAAACTATGAGATAAACTCAGTAAGTAAAATATGGAGTGCCCTTATTAAACTTACAGCATGCCAACAAGTGCAATCATGAAAAACGGATACAGTACGGGAACGAAATAGACGTCTCCTCTATAGGTTATGGCCAGTGTTTAAACCTCCCACTAGCAGGCTACACTATTTGCTGGTGTATAACCCCCACTAGCAGAGTCACTCAAACAAACCGGTTCTATCAATAACATGTTGACATGTGCTAGTGTTTAACCCCCACTAGCAAAGTCAATAATAACATAACCACATCGGAGACAAAACAAACAGAAGTTAGCAGAAAAATCATAATTCACCAATCACTTTCAAATAATCAGGACAATCAATTAAATTTCAAGTAGGCATGCTCAATTTAATGAAAAGCATAAAAATTTCACTTCAAATCAGTCATACTTACTTTTGTATAAAACGAGTTTAGTCCCGCCACCACTTTAAAAACAAATCAAAACATGCTTTTAAAACTGTACGAGCATTACCATAAATTTACTTACCTCACTCGCATAAACCGAAGATTAAATATCAGTGCTAAATTGACAGAACGATCAGTAACCTAATCAAAATATCCAAGAATTAATTATAGTACCACGGATTCAAAAGTAAAATCACCATTAGGACTACCCCTAATCACGGTGCTATTTCTATCAATCTCCACATGGCCAAACATCTCCACACTAAACA